CAGAATTTCACCGACCTGCAGAACCTCACTGACCTACAGAACCTCACCGACCTACAGAACTTCACTGACCTGCAGAACCTCACTGACCTACAGAACCTCACTGACCTACAGAACCTCACTGACCTGCAGAACCTCACTGACCTGCAGAACCTCACCGACCTATACAAGATGAGGTCAGTGAACAAGGCCAGGCTGATTCTGGCAGATCCTGATCACCACTCCATGGTGAGTTCAGGTGTCCTCCATCTGGATGCAGGTATCTGCTGCCCAGATGTCAAACGAACAGACTGAAAAACTCATTCATCCCTGTAGTGATCCTGCTTCTCAACGACCAGTGATGATTTCTGTTGTTATTTGAACGTCTTGTTTAATGTGGATGTTTCTGTGTGATTACTGACTGTGAAACAAATTGCCCCTCGGGGATAATAAAGATTCTTGAACTTGAACTTGCCAGTTTTTGTTCATAAAACCTCTGAAGTTCTGAGACTTTGGCTGTTTGGGCTGAGACTCCTGCAGCGCCTGCCTCCACGTTTATCCCTCTCCGAGTAGAGAGCGGTGCTGGTGTTTTAGAGGAGCTGCACCAAGACTCCAAAATAAAAAACTAATTAATTTGTTTGCATTGATCTCATCTCACACTGTGAGGAAACAAACACACATTAACCTATAGGAGTTTGCGTGTCACACACTTCACACACACGTTCTCCAGTGATTAAAATGTGTCGAGGCGTGTTAGTTTGTGTTCTGCTCAGTGGCACAACACATCCACAAAAACTGTTTGAAAGCAGTGGGTGAAGAGCCTTGTAGACAGATTTACACCCCAACAAAACACAAGAGTTGTTTTTGTGTTTGGGAGTTTTCCAGACGTCGTGTTGGACACATGCTCTGTAGAACCTGCTTAGTGGTCCCTCATCGTGGAGCGAAGAGGGAACTTGGAAACACCCTCAGTCAAATCTGTCTTGTGAGCTGGATATATTTGAAAATAAGCAGCGTGCCAACTTCCATTTTGGTGTATGGCTGCATCTAGGCTTAAGAAAGATCAAGACAAGAAAGTGGTTTGCATCCAAGATGGCCACCGGCTTACATATATGTAAACCAGCCACCCGGGGCAGCAGCCTCGGGGCCCCGATCCTTTAACATTTTGTAACTTTTAAATGTTCTGCAGGAACGTCGTTCTCAGACGCAGAGTGTTCTGACTGCAGCAGTGGAACATTTTCAGATGGGACGTCAACAACCTGTCAGCCTCACACTCGGTGAGTTCTGTTTTAACTAACACACCTGCTTTCTAACAGCAGTGCTGCGTTTATCTGTGACGGTGTCTGTCGCTGCAGATGTGAAGCTCAAAACCTTCGGCTGATAAAAGCAGGAACGGCTTCAGCTGATGCAGAATGTGGAGAAAAGGGATCAAATCTGGGAGGAATCGTCGTCAACGCTGTGCTTTTTTTAGGATTATTTTCTGTAACGTTGTTTTTTTCATATTGTGCAATTACCGGCAGATAAATAGTGAAGAAAATAACAAAGGTGAGTCTGATCAAAGACAATTATGTCTTGTTTAACCTTTGTTCAGCTGCGATGAATCTTTATCCAGTGGTTTTTTTCTGGATCAGAATGTTTTTACTGCAGCGTGGTTGAAAAATGGCTGAATCTTAATCCAGAAGTGTCTTTTTAAAAATCATGTTTGATTGTGGATTATAGACGGGGGCGTGGTGGTGCAGAGGGTAGAGAAGGTGGGCCTGTTGGAAGTTCAACTCCCCGAACGGACAACAGCAAAATGTGGGCGGGAAAGGTGAAGCGCACACACCTGCCTCCACCCTCATGTGCCCCACTCTGGGCCCTTGAGCAAGGCTCTCAACCCCCACCATCTGCTCCCCCGGGTGGCAGCTCTCTGCTCCACGAGTGAGCTCACTGTGGCGACCCCTGAAGAAGGGAGCAGCCGAAAACAAACATGTTTGACTGTAGATTTTAGAGCTTTTAATTCAGATTTTTTTTAAATGTAGAAACAAATTGCACGTAACTTTTTAAAAATGGGAATCTTTACACTCTGAGCCGAGTTACACGTACAGACCTTTGCACTGAAACGCTTCATGCTGTTGGAGAGAAACGTGTTTATTAATTCATGTGTGCACAGACACAGGCTGAGTGGTTCGAGCAGTCGTCCTCCAGTGGAAGAGTTGGGGGTTTGATTCCACCAGCAGAAACATGTTGATCTGGGAAAGATCTCCTCCGATGTGTCCCATCTGTGCACGAATGTGATAAAGCTCTGATTAATCTTTGTGGAGTATGAATGTGTGTGTGGAGGTAAACGAGGCACAGATTGTTGTAAAGCACTTTGAGTATCTTGATTACATAGAGGGACGTACGTAAGTGAAGTCCGTTGACCATTCACACAAACTTTTCCACGAACCGTGAAAGAATATAGGAGGACTACGTGCACATTTCTCTCATTCCTCAGTCCAAGTGTATCTGTGAGCAAATTTAAGTTGGATATTGTGAAGAGAAAAGGAATTTAACAAGCCGTTTATTTGATTTATGGCTTTTTAAAATTGTTTTATTTAAATAAGGGAGCTGATGATAACTTGAGCCAAAGAGAAACATGAGATTTCAAGACATTTGTTCCCGCTGGCGTTGTAGCGTGACAAAAACGTGCGTCCTTTTGTTCTTGCTCCACGTCTGAGAACCTGTCCTGTGCTCAAGCTCCTGGCAAAACGTTTGTGATTGTTCAGGAACTCATGGGAGTGTTTATGCTGAGAAGGATGAACTAAACTGCTCTCATCTCATTAACACTGTGTTCAGTGAAGGTGGGGTGCTGTTGACCTCAACCAGTGATGTTGGGAGGTGGAAGAAATACTTCTCGGACCTTCTCAATCCCACTGGGACGTCTTCCATAGAGGGAGCGGAGTCGGGGGACTTCGGGGTTGGTCTGTCCATAACTATGGCGGAGGTCGTTAAAAAGCTCAGAGGCAGCAGGACTCCGGGGGTGGATGAGATTCACCCTGATGTCCTTAAGTTGTTTTTATAGGTCTGTCTTGGCTGACACGCCTTGGCAACATCGCGTGGACATCGGGGCCAGTGCCACTGGATTGGCAGACTGGGGTGGTGGTTCCCCTCATCAACAAGGAGGACCGGAGGGTGTGCTCCAATTACAGGGGCATCACTCTCCTCAGCCTCCTTGTAAGGTCTATTCAGGGGTACTGGAGAAGAGAGTCCTATCGTTGGTCGAACCTCAGATCCAGGAGGAACAATGTGGGTTCTGTCCTGGCCATGGAACACTGGATCAGCTCTTTACCCTCACTAGGGTCCTTGAGGGGTCATGGGAGTTTACCCATCCAGTCTACATGTGTTTTGTGGACTTGGAGAAGGCATTCGACCGTGTTCCTTGAGGTACACTTTGGGGGGTTCTCCGCAACTATGGGATTGGGTCCTGTTGTTACAGGCTGTTCAGTCCCTATACAAGTGGTGCAAGAGTTTAGGTTGCATTTCTGGCAGTAAGTCGGAACCCTTCAGGGTGGGAGTTGGACTCCGTCAGGGCTGCCCGATGTCACAGATTCTGTTCATAACTTTCGTGGACAGAACTTCTCGAGGCAGCCAGGGGGAGGAGGGAGTCCGGTTCGGTGGCCTCAGGATTCATCTCTGCTCTTTGCAGATGATGTGGTCCTGTTGGCGTCATTGTGCCGTGATCTTCAGCTCTCACTGGAGCAGTTCGCAGCCGAGTGTGAAGCGGCTGGGATCAGAATCGGCACCTCCAAATTTGAATCTATGGTCCTCGGTCAGAAAAAGGTTCAGTTCTCCAGGAGAGACTCTGAGTTGAACCGCTGCTCCTCCACATCGAGAGGAGCCAGCTGAGGTAGTTCGAGCATCTGGTAAGAATGCTCCCTGGGCACCTCCCTAGGGAGGTGCTTTTGAGCATGTGAGACCCCAGAGAAGACCCAGGAAATGGTGGAGATACTACATCACTTGGTTGGCCTGGGAACACCTTAGAATCCTCCCAGAAGAGCTGGAACAGGTGGCTGAGATGTCTGGACCTCCCTGCTCAAGTTGCTGCCCCCTCAACCTGACTTCAGAACAAGCGAAAGATGATGGATGGATTCCATTTCAGATGCTGAGGAGCTGTTGGCCAAGCCTGTTAGAAAATACAGCCATCTTTACAAATGAGCCAACAAATCTTAAAAGATAGTCAAAGAACTTGTTGAAGGAGACGCAGGCGACTCTGGATGTTGTGGCCAGGAGGGAGTACTGTACACCACCCCCTGGATGTCGTAGGGCTACATTCCCTATCTGTTGGAAACGGTGACAAATAGCCTATTAGCGCTTCTCCTTGTTTAACAACAGAAATACCAGAGCTTCCTTCTCCAGCTTCTCCATCATGATCTGAACCTAAACATCCACTTTGTTGCTGTAGTTTGTTTTCCCGTGATGCAGTGAAAATGTCCGCCCAAAGGACGTCGCACAACCACGTCAGCGAGAACTTGTGTCTTGTGAAGTATATAGCATCTTTAACCTGACAGGAAATATGTCTGATAGCCTCGATGACTGTTTGTTTACTATTTATTGTTTACCTCCATCTGGTCTTTCGCTCTGAACCGAGAGTTGATCTCTCTTCACTCCATTCAGTGGTTTTTGTTCCGAGTTCAAAACTAAAGCAACTGAAATGTTCAATCTTTTATTTTTTATATATTTCTTTCATATTTATATTTTTCACGTTTTGCATATTTTATACTGTAATACATGTTTTTTGAATACTTGAGTTGTTTTCTTGCATGTCTGTGTACTTGGAGCACTGAAAGCTTCACTTTAATCCTTTGATTTATTTAATCCGTGTTTCTTCAGTTATCCTGAGGTTTATAAACGGCACGAGAAGTCGTCTGTTAATGTTGACATCTGTTGGGAATTTGTTGTAAATGTTTGCCTTATTTAACTGGTAATAAAAATATAAATACAAGAAGTTTTGTCAGTTTTATTTTCATTGTTTAAATGTAAGGTAGAAAGTCTGCACAATTTTTTTATTTTGATGAATGTGTCTTTAGAGTAAATAAAAAATGTGAAAGCAAAATTTGTGTCAGGTTTTTCGAGGCAGATCAGGACAGAAGAACCCAGTTGCGCAGGCAGGACTCAAGAGGCAGATGTATAAAATAAAAATACTTTTAATAATAATAATAAATCAAAAAGGCTGACATGGCAGCAAAACTTACATGGACTCAAGAAACAGGATCACACAGGCAGGACAAGACAGGCAATACCCAACGACGAACCGACAATGACAGAACTGACAGACAGACTTTATATACACACAACCAGGACATGACACAGGTGACGATAATCAGACAATCAATTCAGACACAAGGGAGAACAGACAGGGGGAAGGCCCACTAGATGGTGCCATCCCTACAATTTGTAACTTCCTGCTAACTACAACAGAAACAGCCGAAGGGACAGAAAATAGGTTAACAATGTTTGACATCCATGGAATTCTCAAATAATGAACAGAGTCCACAAAGTAACGAACAAAAGTACAAACATGATGACTCCGTATTCACAGGTAAAAGTACTTTTGCCAATTAATGTAAATGTGTGATGTGTTAAACTTTGATTCTGTTAATAAATGACCCACTGTCGTTGGTGAGTCAAAGATAATTAACGTCTCACGTTACATTTCTAAATTCAATGCAGTACATTATACAGTCCAGAAAAATGAAAGAATCCGTTTAATTTATGAATATATATAAGCATATGTTCATTCTACAGGCGAGCATCAAGAATGACCGAAAATCAACGAGTCAATACATGAAAAACAGTTTTTTACCACATGTTCACTGATGTTCAGATGTGGAGACGGGATCAAAACTTTGTGGAAACAGCTGAGTAGGAACGTTGGTTCTGTTCCAGCTTCGGTGGCTGGTTCAAATCTCAACATGTCTTCCCTTCCATTCACTTTTCATTCATTTCTATAGCCTAACCCTGACATTTACCCTAAACCCAACACATCCTCCATTCACACCTTAGTCCTAAACCTAACCCACCAACGGCACTTCTTCTTATGGGGCCTGGGCTTTGGGCCCCATACGGAGCAGTTGGTCCTCGCAATATAGTATATGTTGGAAAAAAGGGCCTTACAAATTAACATAATCAAAGACACACACACACATGTATAATAAAACTAACATGAGGGGAGTGGTGGTGCAGAGGTTAGAGAGGGTGAACGCACTCACATCTGCCTCCACCCTCATTTGCTCCACCCTAGGCCCTTGAGCAAGGCACTTAACCCCCACCGTCTGCTCCCCCGGGCGCCCTGGACGCAGCTCTCTGCTCCACACAGAGGCTGTGGTAGCTCGGTGTCTGTGGTTGCATCAGGAAGAACATCTGGTGTAAAAACAGTCACCAAGTCTTCATGCGAGTTAGTTTGTTGTGGCGACCCATGAAGAAGGAGCAGCTGAAAGAAGAAAAATAATAATAACTAAAGTAATTTTTAACTAGGTGTGGTTGCAAGTGTGTTAATGACATTCTTAGATACATAAAGATAATAACAAATACAGAAGGGAACAAACAACAATGCAATAAAGTTGTTAAATGACCGTAGACGTTCATCATGTTTGTATTTACAAAACGAGAACAGAAAATATTTTAAATAAAAATATTTTTGTGGCAGTAGCTTAGACAGACTTACTAACATCAGTGCCAGAGAAATGAATGTGCAGAATATCAAAGTCCATGCTCGGTAATCCAGGTAGAAAAATCCAACAAAGTTAAGTCGGGTCCTCTGGACGGTTTCTTTGTGTTGAAATGTTGCAACACAAAGAAACCGT